CTCAGTAGCTACGCTTGAGCATAACAAAAAAATATGGGGAAATGAAATGTTATTTGAAGCTAATTTAAATCTAAAGTTTTCATCCAATAAATTTCAGTTCGAATTTTGAATATCCTATATGTTTTAGTGACACTATAGCGGATGCACTTAGTCATCAGTCCTCATACCAATTATGTGTCTTAGATGACTTTCAAAATTGAATCAAATTTGTATCTGCTTCAGTCGCTTCTTTTGATAAAAGCAACCCAAAACTTCGAATTTTGGTAAAACATATAATCAGGTGGACGAATCTTTAACTGGAAACGAATTATTCGCCATGACTGAAAGAGCAGATACATGACCGGCATGAGTTAACAGTATTAACGCTCAGAAGTACTAAAATCAGATTGTTCGTGTAACAAAACCGTTAACCGCCCGAGATATACTTTATGGTTTATATACACAGAGTAAAATCATAGAGGAAAGAGAAAGTTATTTTCTACTTTAGGTAAGTTTTTCTGGAGTCTTAGTTGATAACGGTTCCATAGATTTTAAATATTATTCGATTAATATGTGGTTTTATGAAAACACTTTTGATGAATTCATCATTTTTATTCTTCCTATTTTCAGTTTACTAGTCAACTTTCACAAACATACGTCTTTCTCAATTTAGTTGTGAAATAGAGGGACAGAAAACCCATTATTTTCTCAAAATGTGTCTTTTTCGTATAAAAGGTGAATTTTTAAGCGGACAGATACTATGCATCCTTTCAGAGAACATCTGATTTCATTATTAAAAGTGCTCACACACCACACGAATTAATTTAAAAACTTTAGTCATTTAGAATCGGGTTTCTAGCGGTTACCACACAGGTCAGTCGACGGTAGAACTTGTCTGTAACATCTATACGTCGAAGTATTGGTGTCGCTTCACGTCGGTCTTCAACATCACTAAATTCGATAATCTGTCTGAATGTTTTTGATTGGAATCGTCTGTGTATAACTATTTATGCTTCTAATTGTTTTAAAAGAATACTAGCAAGTTTTACACGTTGAAAAACAAATCGTGGAGCTTATGATGATTTTTATGCGCGGTTTCTCGCGGTCAGTTCTGGCATGTTTTTTTTATGGTTTTGGTTTTTCATACTTTTGTTTCCTATGGTTGTAATAAGGCGGTTTTGCTTTGCTAGTATTAAAGCCGTTAGAAAAACCGCCGAAGTAAAACAGTCTACTTTGAAAGAAAGAAAAGAGCAGCACAGTCAGGAATCGACCCTGGGACGGCTGAGGAGTAGAAATTATAAGACTGAAACACAAAGCACTGACCTGAGGACTTTACAGAACTAAGTCTTCAAACTACACACCCATCTTATTTTCAGAGAAACTTTCGAAAAAAAGTTGTTTCAGAAGTTATCGTTATTTATTTATAAAACTCCTGCATCTCGTAGATGCATCTGACATATGAAAGAAAAACGATAACTGTATTGGTTTATTTTCGTAATCGCTTTTCCGCTCTGGTATCCTGATTTTAGAAAATGCACAAAATTCTGTTTTGATTAGTTTTTCCTTTCAACAATATATCGAATAACGTTTTGCACAGTACCAGCTGACGGCCACAGTTTCTCTACAAGGTTTTTTGCTTGCCTTTCAATTGTTTTTAATCGTTCTCTAGTAGCATTTTGACCGAGGACTGAAATATACGTAACTGTTTGATTCCGTTCATCAATTTGTTTTGGTTTCCCGGTGGCTTCCCCCTCAATATCCAACAAGTCGTCCTTCATTTGAAATAGAATACCTAACAGTCTACCGAACTCTCGAATTTGACTTATTTCATGCGTATCGGTCACTCCAGCTAAAATGACCGGACAGACGAGAACAACTTCAATGGCTTTTCCGGTTTTTAACCAAGCAATTTTATCCAATAGTTTAACATTTTCGTCTGTATTATTTTCTTGATTAATGGTGCAGCGTGCCGCAACCAGATCCAACATTTGTCCCACGCATAGTTCATGCATCGATTTCGAAATTTCATTGTTTACATTACTAATGAGAGCAACTGAATATCCATTTTGTAATAAACCTTGATTGACTAATTGCATCGCATGCGCAATGAGATCGACAGCTACCAGTTGTGCTCTGCCTTCGCTTAGAGAAGCAGGTATGTATTCATCTACAAATGTATGTAGTGTGGCTTGTCCTCTTCTTGTATCTGAATTATCTTGTGCAGGTAAATCATCAAGTATGAGACTGCTAGTATGCAAATATTCCAATGCAGTTGCCAATGGTAGCACACTGTCTAAAGAAAGATTGTATAAATCAGCGATCATAAATAACAAAAGTGGACGTAGTCGTTTTCCACCCGCGCTCACAGCGTAATTTATTCCATCGGTTAGTAAATGTTCATCTGATTCAGATTTTATTTTTAAATTATTTTCAATCAATTTGAGATGATCATTAACGTATGTTTCTAATTTACGATGTGTACGCTAGTAGACGCAAAAAAGACGTGTACAATTCTGCTGTTGTGCAGCACAGATATTTTTTATTTATCGCAGACATCTCCTTTGGATGATTTATGGGCATAATTAATACCATAATCATTTATTGAGCGAAAAAAAGATTTTTCTGGGTCACTAACAAGATCAAATTTTGTTCGTAATGACCAACAATATGATTCTAATTCTGGATATTGATGTGCAAAAATTTCTAAAAATTCACCAAGTTTAGATGAATTCAGTTCAAGAGCACGAAGCGTACGAATAATTCGTCGTCCTAAAAATGCTCCGGTTTGCGTTTCTTTACCACTGTTTAAATACAGATCTTCACACATGTAAAGGAATATGTAAAACGGATTCAGAGATTTGTGTTCAAGACAGTGTTGTTTGTGATGATAATAATGAGTAAAAGATGTGACAGATCGACTTTTTAAATCATCAAAAAAATCTCTAAAGTCATCTGTCATTTGACCAAGAACAGGCATTTCCCATGAACGTTCACTACTCTCTACTAATTGAGCTTTACCCATCAATGCTGTAGCAGTATAAGTAAAATGCGATTTCATAACGGTACCCATATATAATTCTAAATCAAAATAAAATTTATCTAATTCTTTGATATCTGACCTTTGAGAACGTAACAACAATGCTAAATCGTTAAATATTTCATTTTTAATATGGTTTCTTTCCGTAAGCTCTATGAGCGAATCAAATGTTTCAAATACAATTTTTGTGACTGGTAATTTTGGTAATGAATCTCGATCAAACTCTTGTCCACATAAAACATTTTCCATGGTCAATAACCACTTATTTATGTCTGCCTCGGTAAATGACGATGAACTTTGTTGTTTGACAGAGTTTTCTTCTTCTCTATCATCTTGTAATCCGTCAACGAATGCATATGCTACTCCGTAGTAGTAGCCCACTTGTAGGGCTTCAAAGAATTTTTCGTCAATTTGATCGTCGTTAATATTTTCCTTGTTTTCGGCGAAACCATATAATCTTGCTATTCCAACACCGATTGTTGTTCTCAACAAACGACCAAATGCACCAGATTTGGTTAGATAGAAAGGAAATGTCTGCAATGCTTCTTTCCATTTTTCTAGTAGCCAAGTCCACTGATCAATGTGAGTCTCCGGTAATAAAAGGACTTTATCTGAAATATCATTCTTCGTCGGAGAAAGATACGACGAAATCGTATGTTCGGCGATTAAAATATGTTCGTCGTTTTTCATCGAATTCGCTAATAACTGAACAGAACTCAAAAACATATGAATGAGTTGCATGAACGTTTCACCGATGTCGTCACTTTTCGATTTGACTGTGAGAATTTTACCAAAACGTAATAACTAAATTTAAGAAAAAAAACTTGAGAATGCTAGATCCTCGATAGAGAAATTCTGAATTACCATAAAATCATCAGCTTGATTTTTCAGATTCATTTCGTACGCTCTTTTTGTTTTATAAATAAAAGCTGCCTTAGTGAGGACATTCTGATTATTCACCGCCTTTAATTCCTCGAGTCTCGGAGGTTTTTGCATTTGTTTCATACCGTGACTAACTATTTCATCCAATAACTGAATATTTGGTTTTGGACGTTGAGCGTATTTTGTTAAAAATATCGAAAGATATTCTTTCCCTGTTCGTTCAGCACCATCATAGGCTGCATCTAAGTTTAACGTTTTGTGACGAAAACATGATGAGGAAGCGAAAGTTTTGTTTGGTGTCAGTTTGTTGATTACATGCTGTTGGTATTCGTATAAAAGTTCATTATCGTCTAGGTTTTTCTCGTTTTTACTAATTTCTTTAGCTCGTTTCAACTGCAGTTTGTACCATTTATTAGTTTTCGACTGTTCGTCAAGTGATACTTTTGTTTTACTTATTAATGTGCCGATAAGGTCATTTTGTGAACTTACCAATGTTTTGAGTTGTTGAACGACGGTATCAATGCGTGCAAGTGTTTCATGAATCCAGTTACAAACGAGAGACTCCGGAACGTAGTTTTGTTTAGCGAGAAATGGTGCTTGTCGTAGTAAACGTTTTTCAATGTGTTTGATGTTTGTTATTCGCCATGGGCGAGCTCTTCTTGTGTACTCCTCAAGTTTTTCGTAGACAAAATGTTCAATAAGCTGTTTCTGTTTACGGTTGACTTTTGAAGAATATTGTTCACTTAGAGATGGAGTGTCTGCATTTAGTAGTTGGTTAGACGTAGATCTGACACGCTGACGGTGAATCAAGCCAGCAATTGATGATGATGAACAACAGCTTATACCGTAAGTTTCTGCTTGAGGTATTAAATTCCCTAGAAGAGCGACTAACTGTTGAAACGTTTGTGCTAAAGAAGGAAATAAGTGCGATGACCGCTAAACGGGAAAGATAGCTAAAGTGGACAAAAACGCGCCTTCCTTCATTTTTGTCGATGCTTCTTTTAATCCTGTCGGGAACTCCGACAACTCTCGTGACTTATGGTGACGACTATAAGCGACTTCGTAGTAACTCTGAGTCACATGAAGTAACGTGACGATAATATATGATGAGTGGGTCATTTACATAGCATCATAATATTGACATCCGGTCAAAAATGAAACAGAAAAAAGTACTATCGACTGTTTGCGTGATAAATCATGCTATTCGCTGTGAACTTCATAAGAAAATGAAGTTTTTATTCTGTAATAGAAACGCTATTGTATTCTTAGCTCCATCTTCAAATTTTCCCGAACTAGATTAACGGTATAAACGTGAAGCAAGTCCTCGCTAGATAAGATAGAACAAAAATATTATTTACTTTTAGAAACTGGAATTTCTCTTGGATTAGTTAAACTATAACTGTTTTTGTACGACATTGTGTTCGATAATAATAGCGTTGAACTGAAGAGATGTTGTCCTTTTTATATATTGTACACAATAAGACTCATTGTGTCATAACACTTCATAAACTGTTAATTTATTGAACGATTATACCTGACTGAGTGGCGCTGTTATAATGTAGCACTTCTATACCACTGTTCACTCAAATTTCGGTGGAACTGGCTCCTCTTAGAATGACAGAATACATGCTTGGTTCCCACTTATGAATAATTGTTTTCAATTTGTTTTTATATTAATATTAAATGTTTGGTTTTGTCCCGAACAATCATAAAAAAGTTAGCCATACTTCCTTATTATAAATGCGTTAGAAACGCTTGTCAGTACTTCTTTCTTTCGTTTCTAACATTTTTTATTTCAAAAAATGTCGGAGATGGAATTCATTCATAATAATACAATCCTGTTGTGACAACAAAAAGAAAACACATGTAATGAAAGAAAGTCCGATTTGCTGTATTTTATTTTAATAAAAATTCAACTGTTTAAAAAAAGTACGATATTTAATTGTTGCCTTTTTCAAAAAGATATTATTCCAGACTAAAAAGTGCACTTATTTCATTCAAAAAATCACAAAGTAGCAGTTTATTCTTATATTATCTTCAATACTTTCGGTCATTTGGCAAAGCAAACCCCTTCTCTTCAGTCTCTCATTCCAACTGATACTACATCGCACACTTATTAACTAAGGGCCTTCAAAATTCGCATCGGTGAATTTATTCACTGGTGTGAATAAATTCACCGATACATTGATCTACTCTATATGATGCAGCTCAATAAAAGCTATAAAAGCCATCAGAAAATAAATTGGTTTTTGAAAGAGTTTTCTAGAAATCTTGCGAAGTACAGCAATGTTTTTTACTATTCTCAAATAAAACTACATATAGCGCTGGTAAAATAGAGTACATCTTGATATTCTGACGTAATTTCGATGGATCTGGGCTGGGTTATGAATATTTTAGTTTTACTCAAATATAGGCAAAAATGGGTTATTGCACGTAATATAAGCTTTTGCGGGCAGGTCTTAGCTATCGAGTAGTGAAAACCGCAGGTCTCTATCTATCTTCTATCAATAATTACTCAAAAAGCAACCGCCTGTCTTGTATTTTGGAACGGATAGTAGTTTAAAGCACACACATCGGAATGATCCATTTTTTAGAAAAGGATCCCTTTTAGTTTTTAAGGTATATCGCTGATTATCGTTTAAAAAAGCAAGTTTTTGGAATGATAGGACAAACGAGAATATTGTTTGAAGTATAATTTAGTAGGAATACAATAACTATTTATGAGGGAATCTACCCAAGTGTTGGACAAAATTTCAGATCAGAAGTCGGCGGAAACATAGCGGATGAAGACAGAGTTAAGAGGTTTGAACATTCTCTTCGAATTTCCATTAGAGAGAAGACCGAACTAAAATTGCTGTGCGCTGATTTGAGGTTCAATCTCTGGTTGAGCTTGAAGTAAATTGCATCATGTTTCGGAAGAGAAAATCGGGTAAAACATGTGTGATTGAATATATTTGTATTTTTTCACGCCTTCAGTTTTCTGTATAAGAGATACCGCGATTGCTGAATAATGTTTTGTTGCTCAATGGTTTGTCATTTCTTTTCACAAACCATGAGTTATTGGTAGTTCGTCGCTTGTAGCAATAAAGTCTTGAAGATCACC